CTCCCCCCCCCCACGCCCACCATAGAGCGTGAGAGCCAGAAGCAGCCCTGGGAGGAGGAGGGGGGAGCTGGGCCACAAGGGGAGGCAGTTATGTCACCCAAGCGTCCAGGCGCATGCGCTTGACGGACGGGTTCTCCCCCTCGGCCTCGGTGGTGGGTCTCAAGAGGCCGAGGGAGGAGCTGAAGTCGGCCCGGGACTGGTCTTCCCGCTCGTTGCCCTCGTAGGAGCTGGCGTTGCTGCTGAGGCTGTCGACGGGCGAACGTCCCGTGGGCTCGTGCCGGGCCTGGTGAGGAAAGGAGGAGAGCGGCGTGGCCGTGTTGCGTTCCCGGTTGGGCGAAACGGGCTCCGACTTGATACTGATGTTTGGGTTGGTGTTGATGGTCAATGTGGTGGCATGAGACAAGTGGCTTCCTTGTCTGGGGAGGGGAGACACAGAAGGGACACAAGGGCACACACAGAGAGAGAGAGAGAGAGAGAGGCAGTGTCAGAATGCGTCTCAGAGGGCAGCCATGTCAGTCTGGAGTAGAATAGTCAGATTCAACCGTGGTAGTACCGACAACATTTTGGGGATATAAGCTTTCAAGAGACAAAGCTCCCTTCTGACTAAAGCTTATGCCCCCAAAATCTTGTTCTCCACGGTGCTACTGGACTCGAAGCCAGCTATCATCATAGATTTCCCAAGCTTTGCCTTCTAGGTACAAGGGGCCAGCGCTGACTTACACGGCCCACATTCCCTCTCCCCATCCCTGGAGGAATTGTATAGTTCTCGATGTTTGAAAAAAAGCAAAGAACATTTTGCAGGATTTGTCACATCCTGAACATTCCCTGTTTGAACTGCTGCCTTCGGGCAGAAGATATAGGACAATTAAAGCAAGGACAAACAGATTAAAAAATAGTTTTTATCCGAGAGCTATTATTGCCTTAAATGCTGTATGAAATTGGAATTGGGTGACACTGGTGGTTTTAAGTTGTTATGTGAACCTTAAGGGAGTTATGGGACAGTTGTGAATGGTGTGTGAGTGTATATGAATATTGTTGTAAATCACCGGAATGATTGCATCTTTAATTTCGTTGTACTATGTACAATGACAATAAAGTATATTATTATTATTATTATTATTATTATTATTATTATTATTATTATTATTATTATTATTATTATTATTATTATTATTATTACTACTACTACTACTACTACTACTACTACTACTACTACTACTACATACTATGCATTCTTGTCAAATGGCATTCCCCCAGAATGCCCCCTGGTACTAGTGATGTTCCTCAGACTCCCTTCTTCTTATGGGGCTCTCTCTTAGGACGGCCTGTGTCAGGGACCCTCCATGCTCTTACCATTGCTCAAGGCCTATATATTACAACCCTGGAAAGATAAACACCCCCTCCAGTAAATCCAGTGGCCGGAGGACCTTACAACCTTATCAACATTTGAGCATATAACTGACAACTGTATATGGGCTAGGGTTGCTGACTGGAGATCTCCTGGTATTACAACTGATCTCCGGGTGACCAAGATCAGTTCACTTGGAGAAAATGGTTGCTCTGGAAGGTGGACTCTATGGCCATTCTGCCCCAACTGAAGCCTCCCCCAGTCCCTCCCCTCCTTTGGAATATCCCCCCCCCCTTTGAAATGAGTGAAGTGCTTTTGAACACAAGGTTTTATAGACTCAAAATGTATACTGTGAAATAATTCTGGGAATTTTTTTAAGAATTCCATTGGAAATTGGGAAATGTTGCCATTTTGCTTGAGGGAAACTAAATACAATAATTAAGAAGAAGAGGAGGAGGAGATTGGAGTCTCAGAGCAGTTTACAAACTCCTTTCCCTTCCCCTCCCCACAACAGATACCCTGTGAGGTAGGTGGGGCTGAGAGAGCTCTTTCCAGAACTGCCCTTTCAAGGACAGCTCTGACAAAACTATGGCTTGCCCAAGGTCATCCAGCAGCTGCGAGTGGAGGAATGGGGAATCAAACCCAGTTCTCCCAGATTAGAGACCACGCACTTAACCACTACACCAAACTGGCTTTTATATTAATACAAATTAATACAATTTTGCATACCAACTAAGTTATAAATGATCCATGTTCTGTTGTTAAAGCAACAAAACAGGATTAGGTTCTATAGGAAGTTAAGTACTGTATTTTCAGACACGTTGGTCTCCAGTAGAACAGCTCGATTCAAGTCCAGAAGTACCTTACAGACCAGCAAAATTGGGGGGGGGGAGGGGGACACATTTTTGAGAGTCAGAGCTCGAAAGCTTATGCCACGAAAATCTTGTTGGTCTGTGGGTGCTACTGGACTCGAATTTAGCTGGTAAGTATTATATATATTTCGGTTTCCCCCCAACATGTCTGGTTTTCCCTCCAAGGGGAAAAATGGGGAAAACATGCTTCAAAATTTTTGGTCTCTGGCTTTCTCTGTGGTAGGCCCCGTTCTCTGGAATAACGTACCAGAATGAGTGCAGAAGGGTACCTTCACAGGATGTTTTTATTATGTCTTATTTTGTAAGCTGCCTTGGGCAGGTTCCCTGGAGAGGTGGCATAAAGCTTATCTACATAAATAAATCAAGCGGTACAAGGCAAGTCTACTCCAAAGGCCACTGGGGGAGGGTGAACTGTTTCGGCAGATCTGGCAGTGTGTTTTTTGATCTCCATGTATTTATGCACTGTTTTTTATTTTGTTAATGGACTCCTATGTTTTGCATCCTTGTGACACAGTTACTGCCTAGAGTCTAAGGAAATAAGGCAGGATTAGAGTATTTCAAATATCTAAATAAGTGGGCCCAGCCTATCTAAAAACCAATGTGGTATAGTGGTTAGAGCATCAGTTCCAACCATCTATCATGTGGGCATTATAATGTTACTTACTGTGATATGCAGGTGTACTGAACTATCTTATAGGGCTGTTGTAAGATTTAATATAATATGAAGTGCTCAAAATACCAAAATACTATATTTTATAACATCAAAATGAGAACCAGTTTGGTGTAGTGGTTAGGAGCAGGGACTCTAATCTGGGAGAACCGGGGTTTGATTCCCCACTCCTCCACATGCAGCTGCTGGTGTGACCTTGGGTCAGTTACAAATTCTTTCAGAGCTGTTCTCTCACGAACAGTTCTCAAAAGAGCTCTCAGCCCAACCTACCTCACAGGGGGTATGGGAAGGGAAAGAAGATTGTAAGCTGCTCTGAGACTCCTTTGGATAGTAAAGAGCAGGGTATAAATCCAATCTCCTCTTCTCTTCTTCTTCTAAATATTATTATTTTTCATTAATTATCAGAATGCTGCCTCAGACCTCATATGAACTGAAAGGACTGGGGGGTTTTATGTAATGTAGGATGTGTTTTCTGTATCATTATCTGAGGATATACTAATTATGATTATCATATGGCATTGTGTGTGGTATAGCTAGGAGATCCAACGATTGTCTGGCAGCCTTAAGTTCTAAGTCCTTCTGCATTAGGCACCACTAGTTAGACACCACTAGATGATGAGCTAGAATTGGGGGGGGGGGCTGAGAGAGCTCTGACAGCTGTGACTGACCCTAGGTCACCCAGCTGGCTTCATGTGGAGGAGTCTGCAATCGAACCCGGTTCTCCAGCTTAGAGACTGCCATTCTTAACCACTACACCACACTGGCTCTTGAAGATATACTAAATTTTAAAAACACTGTTATTATTTATATTTATTATTTATGTATCTATCAAATTTATACCCCGCTCGCCCCACTGAAGCAGGCTCTATGATCTGCGATGCTAAGACGATATCTGTGGGAGGCTCAGTGGCTCAGAGACAGACCCTCTACCTTGCATGCAGAAGGTCCCAGACTCCATCCCCACCATCTCCCATTAGAAGGTGGTGAGTGATATGAAAGACCTCTGCCTGAGACCCTGGAGAGCTGCTGCCAGTCCGAATAGACAGTACTGGCCTTGGGGGGGGGAAACAGTGATCTGTCTCGGTAGAAGACAGCTTCATGTATTTTCATGTGTGCATTTAAGACTGTCCCGCCTCACCCTATCTTAGGATTCAAAATGCAGGACATCCACTGCAACTGTCGAGCCCAGGGACATGATGTTAACGGCATTAACCTGGAAGATGCATCTGACTTATCCGAGGCAGCCCTCTGGCCTACCCAGCACATATAGCTTATTCTGGTGGACAGAGGCTTTCGGATCCTCTGTCCACAAAAAGTGTATTCCACCACTGATCTGCCCTCTCCTGGATGGCCCAGGCTAGCCCAATCTCGTCGGATCTCAGAAGCTAAGCAGCGTCATCCCTAGTTAGTATCTGGGTGGGAGGCCGCCAAAGAAGGACAGAGGCAGGCAATGGCAAGCCACCACTGAATGTCTCTTGCCTTGAAAACCCTACAAGTCGCCATAAGTTGGCTGCGCTTGACGGCACTTTCCATCACCCATGCCAACACCACAGATCTATGCAGGGGTCATTTCGTAGAAAAAGAGGTGCAGGAGCTCATTAGCATAACTTATTTGCATATGCCACACCCCCTGACATCACCGGGAGTGTGTCAGAAGGCAACACCCACCGCTCAGGCTCCACTGGACTGTTTTGGATTGCTAGCTAT